TTCTCCAAAGAACTCAACATCCATGGCTTCCTCCAGCAATGCCGGACGAGGTGCAAACCGAAACACCTCTGAGGAACAGCCCCAGCTTCCCACTGTCTGCATTGGACAGTTCACCGTCCCTCTCTCTGCGAACGGAGTTCCCAGTCTGAATGTGCCTCAGACAGTGGCACCCATGAATGTTCCACTCCCTCCACGATCGGAACAACCTTCGCTGAACCCTCCATCATCCCTCCGGTGGCTAGCCAAGGCCAGCTTGAGGACCTAATGCAATGCATGCAAGCCATGCAAGCTCAGATGCAATAGTTCCAGCAACTTCAACTTTATCAGCAGCAAGTGTTGCACCAGGTTTCCCAATATGAGTATCAGCAGCAGTTTCCTCCACTCCCTCCTCGGCATCCGACCACACAGCAAGCCAAGCCCCTCCGCTGGAACGGACTTCCTTCTCGCCGGGGAGAGACCTCGGTATTGTCTCACGGCAGGAAAGAGAGACCAGCTACCCCCGCCTCGCAGCCTGCAATCAGGTCGGGGGCTTCCCAGCCAGTTAGGCCTATGTTGCCTCAGCATTCGCAGTTCGAGCTCCCACTTGCCGAAAACCGGTTCGAGGTGCTGGCCGCAGACTCGGGACAGGGTCCCTCAGTTCGCAGCTACCAACAGTAGTCCGAGCCTTTCCCTGGGCCCATCGAGCTTGGTAATACCAAGGYCAGCAGTACTAATGCCGAGGCAGCTAAGAAGCAGCGGAGGCGCCACCGAGCTCGCCGATCTGCCACTCACGATCTGCCCGAGCTCAGGGACAAGGAAAAGGTAAGCTCGGGCGAGGTAAAACTTCTTTCAGTTCCTTCCCCTCTGTCGCCAAAACTTCTTGCTGTCCCTATGCCAAAGGACTTCAAACTTCCCCCACTGGATAAGTATGACGGGTCCTTCGACCCGAATGACCATGTTGATGCCTTTCAGTCCCAGATGCACCTGGCAAGAGTCAGTGAATCCTGTATGTGTGTGGCTTTCTCCACCACCTTCAAAGGAGTAGCCCGCACSTGGTACTGAAACCTTGCACCCGGATCGATAAGAAGTTGGGCGCAATTTGTGCAAGTCTTCGTTTCTCATTTTGTCACTAGCAAGAGATGCCCAAGAACTCAAGAGAGCCTCCTTGGCATAGTTCAGAAAGAAGGGGAGTCCATCCAAAGCTATATCAAGCGGTTCAATGATGCTTGCTTACAAATACCCGACCTGGACCCTGTGGTTCGGCTCACTGCAGCCATGCGAGGCATCACCCAAAAGAATTCAAGTGGCATGTGGTGGTTAATCAGCCCAAGACCGTGACCGAGTTCCTCAAGCTCGCGGATCGGTTTATAGGGACGAAGGAGGAGATCAACCAAAAAGGTGAACAAGCCGTTGAGAAAAGAAAAAGGGAGACAGAGCCCTCAACTCAGGGCGATAATAAGAAGAAGGACCAAGCTCGGGGGGCAAGGGCAGGACAACCTTTCCGAGCTCCAGTAGCAGAAAGGACGGACTACACGCCCCTCAACGCGAAGCGGGCCGAGATCCTCATGGCGATCAAGGATGCCCCATATGTGAAGTGGCCACCTCGGCTGAAGGCAGATCCTAATGTAAGAAATAAAAATTTGTATTGTAGTTYCMATAAAAATCACGGTCACAACACCGAAAATTGTTAAAACCTCCACGACGAGATAGAGGAGCTCATCCGTCGCGGATACTTGAGGAATTTTGTACAAAGTAATAATAATCATAAAGCAGGTCGGCAGGGGGAGCAGAGTAGAGATGCTCTCGAATCCAGTAGGCAGGCAGAGCAACCGTAGATGCAGCCCCCCGAAGAAAGACCATTTCGGGGGACTTCCATGTAATTGTCGAAGGTTTAATCGTTGCGGGCTGCACTTCGGCTGTATCTTGGACATCAGCTCGCGAGGCCGCCAGGGAAGAACAGAATCCCCCGAAGCGGCCAAGGATGGAAGAACCGATCTTCTTTACAAAGGATGACGCGCACGGGGTCCACTACCCCCATGATGATGCGCTCGTCATAAAGGTAAATATCAACGACTTTGAAGTCAGGCGTGTCCTCGTTGACTCGGGAAGCTCAGCAGATATTCTCTTCAAAGCATCCTTCGACCCACTTCAGCTCCAAGAAAGCGACCTGAAGCCCGCAAATACTCCCTTGGTAGGATTCAGTGGAGAGGAGGTCAGGCCCTTGGGAAGAGTCACCGTGCCAGTGGAGGTCGGAACCTGGCCTAGCATGGTAAGGCTCAACCATGATTTCTTGGTGGTCACGACTCCCTCCCTGTACAATGCAATAGTAGGTTGGCCCATCACCCACGCCTTACGAGCAGTGGTCTCTATATACCATCTGGCATTGAAGTTCCCTACGGACTTCGTAGTCGGGGTGGCGCGAGGCGATCAGCTTGGGTCCCGCAAGTGCTATGTTGCCACTCTCAAAGGAAAAGCTAAGGTAGTAGACGACCTCGAGCTAGAGCGACCTGCGAAGTAGTGCGTGGAGCGAGCCGCACCCACCGAAGAGATTGTCTCCATCCTGGCTTTGACAGAAGACCCGGCTCGGGCTCTTCAGATCGGTGCTTCTATTGAGGAGCCTTTGCGATCCCAACTTGTAAGTTTCTTACTTGAGAATTTAGATGTTTTTGCATGGTCCACGGCGGAAATGCCCGGCATAGACCCTAGCATTATAACTCATAAGCATAATACTGATCCTGTAGTTAGGCCCGTTAGACAGAAGAAACGCAACCTAGCCCTAGAGCGATGGAGGGCAGTCGACGAGGAGGTCAGGAAGCTCCTCACAGCTGATTTTAT